CAGCAAAGGATGCTGACAACAGACTGAGTACTCCAAACAAAAAGTAAAACTGCTCTGAACTGCCAATGCCATCTAGCAAACACCATGACAGACATCTACTCACTTAAGTTCTCCATAATCTACTGCAGCAAAAGCCAACTTCCAGAGTTTAGTGGGAGTACTTTCAAACCTTTCATTGACCCAGAACAGATAGAAGTATGTAGAGTAGATCAGATTGCAATTCAGTTTTTATTTTGATCTTTAATAAATATGAGGGATCCTCTGCACTACTGAGTGCTCTCTTTGCCTTCCCTTACATGTTTTTGTGTCACCTGGATGTGGGCATAGTTCGGCCTATGGAGCTTTCTAGTAGGGTTTTATTGCACCCAGCTTGAATGTGACAGACTGCCTTGTGGAAGTTACTAATCCAAAGTGTTGAAGGAGAGAGCGATTATAAAATCAAATGCCCTCATCTGCAGTGGGTACAGGGCTTTAGAGACAACTGAGAGCTACCGTTTGGGAATTTATCCCCCATTGTCGATGGGAGATATAGGCAGGGATAACATCAATAAGCAAGACCTGACCTGTTGTGTGGGGGTCAGTGAACCTGGCAAGTGTCCAGATTATCATCATATATTGGATCTGATGAGGATGGACGTTTACATTTTAAAGCAGAGGATAATACTGGCATTTGAATCACTGCATTTTTCATTATTGGACAGTAGATCAGCCTCTTAACCAGGGTTACATCAGAGGCGGCCAAGGGTTCATTGAACAAGTTCTGCCTCTCAGATAAGGAACTGCTGATACCAATTACCGGTTTAGCTTTTTGCAAAGGAGACAGTCCTTCCAATAAGCAACAATGTAAGGGACATTTCTTCCCTCGGTCCATCAGTGGTCCTCCTCTCACTGACCCCAATGTAAAAGAACAGTAGTTCTGGCTTTTATCATGTTTAATTTTATGGTTACTGAAAATATTTTCATCCTAAAACTGTGATCCACCACTCCAATCCATCTAGTTCTCTGTTGTGACAACCGAGAGCAGTGCACGCTCCGAAGGAAACTCTAGCGCAAGGCAGATGCCAACCACTGAGGTCAACCATAAACTTTATTGCTGTGCTACAGCCAACATACTTCTGTACTCACCCAGACCCTCATGGGCTTATTTGTAGAGACCGGGGCAGGCTCTGGAGGGATACACACACACGGTGCATGTCAGCTGTTAAACAGCAATAAAGTTTAATCGTGATGTCAGTGGTGTGCAGCATCTTCCTTGTACAGCTCTGGGTGTCAAATATGCATTACTTTTTCTTATCGACTTACTATCAAAGCCAATGTACTGTGGACTATACACAATTAGCAGGGGTTCCATGAGGCCTGGAAGTCATTTCAAGGTTTCCTCCATATTAAAAGACTGACGTAGATCAAACATTCTGACTATTTACTGCATGCTCATTCTAGGTCAGTGGCAAAGTATCAAAGCCAAGTACAGGCTCTAGTTTGATCAGAAGCCTCTATATTTCTCTCAACGCACATTTCCTTTTGAAAACAAACATTTTTTTCTACCCTGTCAGGTACCTTATAATTCAGATCCTGTGCAAAAGGCACTCTTTAACATCTGTTCATAGAGGGGGATGATAGGAACACCTAGGCAGTTTAAAGTAAACCTGTGTTTTGTTCATGCACAATAAAGCAGGAGTGACCATCAACCTCCCCCCACATCCCAGTAACTGAACAGAGTGGTAGGAGTGTTTGTGTTCCAGTTTGACTGGGCATTTAAGCACATTTTTTTTGCTTTGAAGTTCATGTGTCACTCATCTGGCCTTTGATATATGCAGTGAACAAGGACATCATGACGATCACAGGAAGGCTGTCTTTAACATACATGCTGTGGCTGATATCCTGCCTTCACCTTCTCTATTCAGTGCAAGAGGCAAGATAGCAACACTCAGTTGGCACAGATAGGTCTAAGGGGTCAGAACGGTTTTAAAGCAGCACAGCTTCTGTTCACAGACTATGCACAAGTGAATTATCTATAGGAGAATATCTAGCAATGGTTTATAAAAGGATTGGTTAACCCCTTCATGACTGAGGCCCTTTTTTTGCACCCATGTTATATTCCACATTTTAGGCCTGGAAATTAACTTAAAACCCCCTAACATTATATATTTTCTGAAAACTAAGATCCTACAGAATAAAATGGTGGCAATTGCAAATTTTTATGTTGCACGATATTAGCGCAAATCATTATCAAACCCCAAAATTTAGTGAAACATTTACTTAAATGCCCCAAAACACAATAAAAGATGAGGTTACAACAAGTAAATAGATACCCAACATGCCCAGGTCAAAAATTGTGTGCGTCGGTCCGTGAAACTGCAACAAACCTCAGTAGCCCCAAAAAAGTCCATAGATGCTTCAAAAGCCCCCACAGGTCATCAATTTAGAGATACACAAAAATACTGGCCCTAGAATTATTGCTCACTCCAGCGTGCACGGCGATACCCAACATGTATAGCGTGTTCGGCGTTTTCATACTTAGGCACACGTGTTTACGTGGCGACGCAGGGGCCGGGTACTTTAAAACATTTTAAAAACTTTCTTCTTTTACTTTGATTGCTATCACATAGTGGGGGCTAACAAGCCCCCCCCCATGTGATAGCAGATGGTGGTGACAGGTACTCTTTAAAAGGTGATGCTGGGGGTCCAAAAGACCCCCAGTGTCACCTTTACACTCCAAATAAGCTATTGCAGATCGCACTTCAATAGCTTATAGCTGGGCTTCAGGAGCCCAGCACTGACAGCTATGGGGCCGGACGTGATGCAATCTGCATTGCTTCCGGTCCCATAGAACGGGGAGTGGATCGACGAACGGAGGTTCATCCATCTCCTCCCCAGCTCCCCGCTGACACCAGAGAAGCTGGTCCCGGGCCCGTAGGAGCCCGTGAAGCACCGCGGGGGGCGACCCCTTCACCAGGCCATAGAATCTCTTCTATTGTAAAGCAGACAGTTGGCTTACAAGTTTTAACAGAGTCTCTTTAAACAGCCCTGATGCTGGCGACGTACACTGTACGTCGTCAGTCGTGAAGGGGGTTAAAGAAAGGGCTGCTTTATATTAAACCTTATGGCATGTGAACACTAATGCAAATGCCCAGACCATAAAAGATGGAAGTTTTTCCCCCTCCAAAAGAACACCTACACATTTCTGGAGGGACGAAAATTCACTTGTCTGGACAAGCACAAAAAAGGTTCTCTATTGAGATGGTGTCCAGAATTTATCTAGAACTGTGCAAATATTAGAAATGTCACACTCTTTAAAATTGTTAATGACACACAAGTCCAGCTTCTAACAAATAAACACAGATTCATCACAGGCTACTTGTTTGTTTCACCTTTATTACATTTTACCTTAAAAACATCCATTTAAAGGTCGAATTAAAAAAAAAAAAAAATACAAATCTATTTTTCACTCGTGATTATAAAGTGCATTTTTCTGTCCCCCAATGAAGTGTACACAATTTTCTTCTTAAAACATCAACATGCAGAGGAGGAGAAAAGAAAAAAACAATATAATAAAAAGGAAAAAACTATCAAGGCACTTCTAGTTTGAAAACACTAGGGGTTGAGTTTAACATCTCTGCAAACATTCACAGTAGGCTATCCCCATTTTTAAACTGAAGACCGATTGCGCCTGTTCAAGGCTATCAAAAGTTTTGTTTCAAGTTCGAAAATAACTTTTGTTGTGTATACTCCGACACTGTTCCCCCTCTACCAGAAAAATGGATTAGGAAAAGTAAAGAGTAAGCTATACAGTATACTGTAACTCATGAAATACTGGTCTGTAAATACACATCCTAAAAACACACAAAAAAGGGGGAAAACTTTAATATTTAATAGTTGAAAATTGTGCAATCTTTAAAATGCCATACAAAAATGGGGTCTACTTGGGTTAGTCACAAAAGATGCAATTTCCATGTCACCACATACAAGCTGGGAAGGAAAAGCATCAGAAAGCTCAATGGCATCCAAGTTTTCTGGTCCTTGACACAATCCAATAAAAGGTAATTTGCAGTTGTCTTCACTGATCCTAGAACCAATGCCAACGTCAATTTCAAACCGCTCCTGCTACTTTCCACCATAAATTCATAAGATAAAGTAATAAATAGGTGGTAAAACCTGATGCAGATACAGTAGTAGGTAAAGAGTCTCCAACACAGAGTAGTTTATTAAGTGGACACCAGTATCCAGCCAAGAAAATAAAACCCCTCCACAAATCCCACAAGCTATTCAACTGCCAGTATTAAAAAAAAAAAATTAACAACCCTCACACAAGCAGCCTTAAAAATCAGCTAAATGGTGCATGGAAAGTATGCAGTGAATGATCAGAGTGTAGAGTTTAAGGCACATATTCCTAAGTGACTTTTAAAAAGGGTTTGTTTACATAAACAAAAAAGAAAAGAACAGGAGAATACGGTTTCACTTGGATTTGGAGTTACAGCACATATAGCTGTTGATCAAATCAAGACAGTAATGCTCATGTGAAAAGCACGAGAGGCCTACAATGCAAGACTTGTGCAAACACTACTGGATGTGATCTACTACACAGATGCATGTGCACAGGGCAGTGCAAACAAATAAAATTACTCAGTTCCAGCAGACTTAAGCACATTTTACCTGAGAAGAACCAGCAGAAAAAAAAACAACCTCAGTAGGAAAACCACATACACATCATTTCTGCCAAGAATGTAAGCTAGAGCACAGCCCCATTATGAAGTGTCAGCACACTATGTACAACATAGTTACTGCATTAGAATGTATAGGACATTATTAAAGAAAAAGCAACCACAAAGATGATGTTTACCGTTGAATAGAACTAAAGCAGCATTAGGAAGGAAAAAGTTTAGCAGCGTCTTCCTGTCTTGACTCCATTCATTTTAAAGAAGGTGCTACTTTGGACATTTTAATGGATGAGGAAGTGTAATCCTTTTGCAATACACTCTACACGTTACATTTTCACTGTAATCTACTATACGGTCTGAAACCAGTTTCAGTTCAACAAGGCTTAACATGTTTGAAATCTCACCATACACCAAGTCTCCAATGTTGGGACTGGCATAACAGTACTTTTATACTTCATTAGTAGTAGGGCCCTTGTTTATCAAACCCAGAGTAGCTGGACCACTCCGGAAACAAGCCATAAGAGCACCTGGGACTCCCAAACTGATCCACAGAAAGGTTATAATCAGGTTCACAGTGGCGGTTGTGAAAGTCAGACCGAACTATTCTGTAATTTTGTCCTTTATTACTGTCCCAATAGGTTTTACTATTGCATTCAAAACAGACAGCAAATTCTATCTTCTTCAGAGACCTAATAGCATCCGGCAGAATAATATCAAATGAGAAAGTGTCCCTATCAGTGCCTGCATAAGTGTCTTTGACATAGTGGCATTCGTGGTCTGTAAAGCTCTGCCAAGCATTGAAGGTCATTCTTATTTTGACATTTTTCTGGAAGGCAAGATTCTTGACCTTTATAGTGCCAACAAGAGTTCGCTCTTTGAGCATGCAATTTTCGAGACAGACAAAGTCTGCCTGGAGGCGGTTCCTGAAATCCAGGTAATCTGCAGCAGGTTGTTCAAAGTCCAAAATCAGATGTTCTTTCTCTAATGTGGTCAAGTTAACTATGTTGTCAATCAGTTCTGTGATGTTGAAGGGAATCTCCAGAGGGTCATCAAGCTCCGAATATACTTTTACCATAGTAAGGGATAGACCTCTACTGTCTGCAAAGGAAACCCGCTTTTTCACTTTCTCCTCTTGATTTTTCAGCTCTGTTAGCAAGGTCTTGTCGTTTGGTTGGATACATGGTCTCAGTGGCTTGCTAGTTTTGGGTGTAATCCTGCATTCCAGGTGGTCTCGTTTCAATGCAGTCGAACCCAAGTAGAAATTCATAGCAATGTCTACTGCCATGGTTGTCTTATGGGGAAAGAAGTCTTGAACACTAGAGAGCAAGAGAGAGAAAAAAAAAGATGTGAAATTCCATAGTTATATGTTTGCCTTGTTTTACTAAAATGAGCAGCATATTAGAAGTGAACCTAATTTGCCAATTGGGAAAAAAAAAAAAAAAGGTATATTTAATACATTAATTATAATCGATTAGTTGGCAGTAGGAATGCACCAAAATGTTGGCCACCAAAACATATTGGATGAAAATGCCACTGTGGGCACAATACCATCTTTCAGTCAAAATTGTGGTGCATTCCTAGTTTGTCTCCTCCCCACTGGGTGCTGCTCTGCGCGCAGCATCCAGTAGGGAGGAGAAAAGCTGTGCGTTGTGAGCGTGTTACAGGAGGCAGAGCCAGTGTTGATAAAGAAAATTCAGCTGTCAAAATAGAGCGAGCTCTCCTCCCGCACAGTCGGCTCAGCCTTCTGCGACAGAGTCAGGATGGAGAGCGGTATACAGTCAGCGATCGCTGAATGTTTGTAAATAATTGGACGACATACAAGTTACTATGTACCAGTTATGAATGAATAGGAAAGTTATCTACATCACCTCCTGTTCATACATAGTAAACATACTATCTACACAATGTATGAATGAACAGGAACACTCAGTATAAAAAGATTCCTGTTCATTCACAACAGGGGAAGCAGAAAGCATTGAGGACTGTGTTCTCAATCTCTTTTTCTATTATATAAATTGGAAATATTAGGGGTCCCTTTAGATTTAGATATTTTCCAGAGCCCCTTAAAGTAAAATATACACACACCCTTTTTTTTCCGGTTTCGGCCTGACTATTTTCGGTTTCAAAATTTCATTTCATACTAGAATTTGGTCAGGCTGACAAACTTGTTTTTCCCACCATTTCTAGTTTTGTTTTAAACGGGGGGGGCAGGCTTTATTTTTTTCTTTAAGATTAGGGGCCCCTGATATTTCCCTTTGATAATAATAAAGAAGATTAAGGACACAGAGCCCCAGCACTAAATTAACTTCTAGTTCAATGAAGCATGCAGGCTTCTTGTTCATTCAGGAATCGAGGAGATAGTAAACCGATACTATGCCCATAATCATAAATGAACAGGAAGTGATGTTGAGCACTTCCTAATAATTGGGGGTCACAGTATCTGAATACTATGTTCTCAATTATTTACAAACATTGTAGTGTTGCGAGAAGTTTGGTGTAGCTCTCCTCTACTTGGCAATGTCTGCATGCGTCTGTGGCCCCTCCAATCCCTGCTGGGAGAAATGGGAATCGGAGGGGACACCGAACCAATGAAATACTGGCTCCTAGCGCACTGCTACTTTTAAATGTGCCCGTTGTCACTGGATTATTAACTTGAACAGGTTGACAGCTGCTGCTTTTAAACAGCATATATGGGATTCATGCTGCAGAAATTCGCAAGTTCCCGACACAGGAATCCCTCAACACACCTACTATGTAGGTGTTAAGGCCTAAATCTTAAACAGGATACATGCTGCACTCAGGGCTGACCAGGAAAACTCAAAACTGAACGTTAACCTGTCCACATGCAGGATACAGATCAAACCCCAGTGGCAGGTCAGACAATGCAAAATGTCCTATATAGATAGGCATTGTTGTAAATGTTGAACTTAAAGCACTGGCTTCAGAAAGCGTGTACAAAGCACATTTTTGCTGCTTTCGTGAACCCACTTTAGAACTTTTGAGCTCCAGTTTGTAATGCAAGGCAAACAAAAAGCAGACTGCCATTGCTTACCTTTAAAAATGCTAGCTACTCCGTTATGTGGCTTTAGACTAGACTTCAAAAAAAATTGCTATCCTATAGGAAACATCTAGAAGTGTTAACTTTGCCTAAGCAGTACCCTGAAAGATTTACATTTCGTCTTGAATTCCTTCTTAAAAAGATTAGAGCACTTCCTGTAATGCTCAAGACACTCCTAAAACCTTATAGCCATAGATCTGGTATTTCATGACATCACTACTGTGCCACTTTGTGAAGTAAAACCTGTGTTGCGTGCATCTCCCTCATTCATGTAATAGACCTGTGCTTTCTCCACCTCTCCCGCTACTTGAATATTACCCACCAGTCAACACATCACCTGTGGAGGGACACGAAGGGGGGGGTCTGTAGGTGGAATCAGCCACAGGGAGACTACAAGCAATGTTGGTGACCAATTCTTCATGTCTTTTGAAAAGTCTCCATAGCTCTGGTCCTCTTTAAAAAAAAAAAAACAAAAAAAAAAACCTTTGATGACCCAAAGGTAAAACTAAAAAGTTAACCACACTGCATAACAAGTTCTGCACATACTGGTTAGTTTAAAAGAGATCTCTACCATACCCAAAATTGACCATAGGCGACACCTTAAAAGCTTTTACCGCTCATCAGTTTAGCGTTATCGTGATTGGTGGCCCTAAAATTATTGCTAACTCAGATGTTTGCAGCGATATGCAACATGTGCGGCGTAACGGGCTCAATCATCGTTTTTGCATGTATGCGCACCTGACGCATGTTTGCATGCGTGCATGTATATGGGTGGGGACTTGAAAAATGTTTTTGGTTTTATTCTAATACGTTTTCATGTGTGACTTTACATTTTTTTTTTCAACTTTAATTTTTTTTCCTATTCCTCCCCCCCCCCCCCCCTTAACTTTATTGTTATCGCATACGGGGCAAAGAGATGTGACAGGTCCTCTTTATGGAGCCATCAGAGGTCTCCAAGACCCGAATGTCACCTAGGGACCCCCAAAGAAGCTGATGAAGCAGAGATCTGCTTCACCAGCTTCTGAAGCTGGAGAGTGACAGCAGAATGCGGAAGTGATCTAATATACATCACTTCCGCATTCGGACACTGGAGAGGGGACTGGAGGGAGATCGTGTACCAATCTCCCTCTGATCCTGTCAGAGCCACCATGCTGGTCCTGGGCTCGCACCGGGCACAGCGGAGCCTGGGACCAGCGGGAGCGGGGCGCACACACAGGCACCTTATACAAGCGATCCGCTGGCTCTATAGCCAGCAGATCACTTGTATGTAAGCAGGCATCACTGCCTATTAAATTTGGGCAGGTTACCGCGCGTGAGTGGGCATGGCTGACGGGACATTTAAATATGCCCACTCGGATCTAGGAGGCAGTTAAAGCCAGTTCCTAGTAGTGCCACTGATTACCTTAATTTGAGTATATCCACTTTTTGCTCAAAGTCACTGTCTACGTTATCAGCAACTATTGCAAACTTAACTTTTATACTACTTGTAAAGGACTTAAAGCAGAACTCCACACAGAGAGGTTTTTCATCTTCTTTCTCTTCCACTGAGGGGCACAGAAAGTTTTTAACAAAGATGTCCAAAAGCAGTCCGACCAAAGGATAGGCAACAGCAAACAACTGCCAACAGGCCCACCATTAAGATCTATGGACTGCCTGCCTTGCAGGCCAATGCCCTAGAACTGTAGTCTGAGAGGAGGCCAAACCTCCCAGGTCGGCAAAAGGACAAGACCATGGGGGGAAAAAAACAAACAAAAAAACACAGCAACTAAAACCTGCCCCTAAGCCTTGTCTCAACAGACCCCAAAGATCAAAAAGGACCAAGTCCATATCAAGGATAAATGTCGGGGAAGAAAGCTTAGCTTATCAGGGGTTAACCCCAAGGATGGCATAAGTGGAAGAACTTCCAAGTAGGTTAATGGTGGTATTGGAACCACCTAGAGAGTCAGCATGATCAAATAAGGTAGGGTACATGGGAAGCTCCCATACAAATAGGGGATGGAAGCAAATGTTCCTTATCCCAAGACAGTCATAAGGCCTGCAAACTAATAGCAATAAGGATCAAGCTCAAAACTCACCCATCAGCAAGGCCTCATAGCCCTAGAGGAAAAAAAAAATACCCTGCCTATGCTGGAGGCTCAGAGTTGCTGGGCTAGAGATGCTCTGGACTCCACAGATCCAACAATGCATCAGAGTCCATGAAGCAACAGGCAGGAGAGTTATCAGCGTGACAAAGAAAAAAAAAAAGGCATTTTACCAGACAATCCAACATTGAGTCTGCAAAAGAAACCAGACATGCAGATCCCATGGAGTCATAGCATTCCCTACATTAGGAAAAACTAAACTTGTTCAGCATGCAGAGTGCCACGGGATCATTGAGTTTCCCTCCAACGTTGTCCACCTGCAACATAGGATCAGAGATGCATCCTGATGTCTAGACCACTCCATGTCCAGAAACAGCCAGTTGAAAGTAACTGGCCTTTCAAAGACCACACTTTAGGTAAGCAGAGTGGACAGAACTGGAACAAGCGGTTTCTTCCCAGTGAGGGTCAAAAAACTACTATTCTCGCCAGAGCAGGACCTTCTAGAAAGTAGGAAGATAAATCATTGCCAACCCCAAAAGCCTGATTAACCAGGTCATGAAATACCGGTTCCTCAAGGGAAGACAGTGAAGTCTACTGAGAAACCTGATCCACAACAGGAGGAATAATCTGAAGTAGTATGAGAAAACACTCGGGTAAAGTGGGTTCCCTTAGAGAGGATGGCCCTTTATCACACAATTCTCCTGCAACAGCAGAGAAATGGGCAACTCCCTGACCAAGGGAAAGGGGCATGAGCGGTAGAGCTGTAGTTTCTCCTACCGCAGAACCATTCTATTTTTAACCACTGCAGGCAGGGACGTTTTAGTGTGGTCTCCCAACTTACCAAGATCCAGCCAAATCTTGGAGACATTTGGACCATCAGGAAGACCTGGTCCATTAGGGTGCACACTGGCTGCTATCCACAGGTTATCTGAGTAACTCACAATGTGGGTATCATGAGAAGGCACTAGGGCAGCACTGGAGAAAGTGTGGGGGTGAGACTAGAGTGTTAAAACCCCAGGTGGATGGTGGGAAGAGAGAGTACATGCCTTAGCTGACCATGAAGGTCAAGCGGTCTCCCTGGCAAGGACAGGGACAGTAGATCTGAGAGGCAAACGCCTCTCAGATCTCAGATTGACAGAGGCAAACGCCTTCTATGTCAAAGAGAACTGAAGGCAGATGGCAATACATTTCCTCAGACCAAGCTAATGCAGGAGCTAGGACAAGTATCTTTAGGAGCAAGAGACTCCAAGGGAAGGAACAGAGGCCAATCTGTTAATCTGTGCAATCACAAAATGTAGATGTTGGGAAGCAAGAGAGCAATTTGAGGGTTCAGCCTGTGATCCTGAACGGGCAAACCCTACACCCAATATCTGAAAGGCATACTATCCACGGTCCTGCAACAATTAACAAATGTCCTACCACTTAGCATTAAGGTAAACTTCTACTTTTCTAAGGAAGGCTTCCCTGATTTAGCAGGCTGCTTACTCCCAACCTCACAGGTGGCTGGAAAACCAGGCTTGGAAGTCCTGGGAGTGCTTATGCCAGGTGTAGGGGAGGAAAAGGAAGGGACATAGCTGACCTCTCCCTATGACTTGTTACACAGAGGCAGGTGTAGTCTTTGGCCTCCAGATATATTACTTGATGGTAATGTAAAGGGAAGGTCTGAAGAGACATCATACTTTAAATACCAGACAGGACAAGCACTCCACAAAAAACAAATGTCCACAACCCAGCACTTGAGAGCTTTGCTCATTTGTAACAGACCCATACAGGAGAAAAGCCAAGAGGCTGCCAGCAGGTAATAACAGCTGAAGTCTAAATCTCCAGACATCTGCTTCACACAGTCGAGGATCCATTACTACGGTCAAGAGATTCCTTTTGCAGATTTAGACCATTCTGCCAAGATTTGACAAATTACGGCAACAGACAAAAAAATGGCTAAAATCAGGGCTTGCCAGTGAGAACTTGGTTTTTAGAGAGGAATTCCAACTGTAAGTAGAATCCATGAATCTGATGCTCTATATTGGCCTAGTGGTTTTCCTGTTGAGATCAGTCACTGGCATAGCCACAATAGGTGTAGACCACTTCTTAGCATATCCTTCCCAAATGTGAACAAATCCAGTAAACTCTTATGGTGTCTAGAACCCATCAGGATGCTTCCCATTGCAGTGAGGTGGTCTTTGCAGCTCTAGGGACTCTGAAAGACCCAAAACAGGGGACTGCAGGCTGATCCTCTACATCAGGGATGGCCAACACCGTCCCTCCAGTTGTGGTGAAACTACAAATCCCATGAAGCATCTCTCTGGGAGTCATGTCTGTGACTGAGAATCTTGCAAAGCCTCAGGGTCTGGAAGGTGCCTTGCACGAAACCCTGTGCCTGAAGGTCACTTCTAGGCTAACCTTGCAGTGTTCAGTCCAGTAACAGCACTTCAAAGCCAAGCTGAAGATAGGGTGACCCTGGGCAGTAGCAATCCGGAACCAGCTCCAGCAGTGATGTAGAGAAGAATCTTTTTTTTTCTAATCAAAAAAGGAAGAAGGTTAGACTTTTCCCAGAACACCAATAAAATAAAAAACTGGTTGTAGGAGTGGGTTACCCTGGGCTTTCCTACAATTTTATCTAGTAGTATCCAAACCTCCTGCCAACAGCGGTATAAACCTATGGTGAAGACATCCAGTGTTCCTTAAAGCACAAGAAAAAAACAAAACCTTGCTACATACCTTATTTTAGACCCATTGAAGTCATCACTGGGTCTCTGTGCTTCTCTATTCGCATTCAAACACTCCTAGGTGATAACCATATGCAACGTTGAGCTTCTATGACTGGACAAACTTTTTTTTTTTACACAATAGGACCGATAGCCTGTAAGACTATTTGCTTGTGCTTCAGCTGTTGTGCAGAAAAGACCACCACCACACACAGGTACTGCCAGGTGTGCTGGTTTAGAAACTGTAGTTTGCAGCATACAGGTGAAACTCGAATAATTAGAATATCGTGCACAAGTTCATTTATTTCACTAATGCAACTTAAAGGTGAAACTAATATATGAAACTAATATTAGTTGCATTAGTGAAATAAATGAACTTTGCACGATATTCTAATTATTCGAGTTTCACCTGTATTTTTCATTTTATAAGAGCCAAGAGAGCAGTCAAGCAAAAAATGATTTGTTTGGCAGCTTCGATACCATAAACTCATTGCACACCAGAAGCTTTTTACTTGAGCTCTTGTTAAAATGACATTTCCTGACACAATGGGGGTGATTTACTAACCCCTGAACACACTACAGAGGTGTATACACGTTCGTGGTGTGTTTAAAAGGTTAGTAAATCAACCCCAATGTGTTCAAAGCATATACAAAGATGTTAAACCATGCATTTCAATACTTTAAAAAGTTTGAGCTAAAACAAAAAGGGTTGAACACATTTATTTTGCCATACAACTCATGAAAACAGAGCCATTAATGGTGGACGCGAGCCATTAATGGTGGACGCAAACCAACCCGGGATCTGTTCTCGGGTGTCCTAAAGGGAACCTGTCACTTACACTTGCTATTACCTATAGAAAATGCTCAGGGAGCCCCAAAAAATCCCAGGCACACATTTTTGAGTGGCAAGTCTCAAACTGTGTAGCTGGCCTCTACTGTGGAGTTTACAAACGAATCCAGAGAGGCCTGAGACACATTTCTTAGAAAAACCTTTTGTTAAAGTGACACTAAAACAAGTTAAATCTTAAAAATGCATTCAAGTACCTTAACCAATAACAAAAATTTAGTTTATTTGTGTATCACTCGGCTGTAGATCCTCAAAACATCTCTGAATTGGTGCTAAAGCTGGCCATACACCTTACAATTATCTGCAGATTTTCTGTGATCAGATGGAAAAGGTGCAACAGATTCCTCCATCTACACTCAACTGTGTGGATGGAGTCATCTCCACCTGGGCCAATCTGTTGCACTTTTTCCATCGGACCACAGCAAATCTGCAGATAATTTTAAGGTGTATGGGCACCTTAAAACGTTCCTTCCTTCTTGAGGGTGGATACTTTTCTTCCCCATGAACTTCAATACAAATTGGTAAACTAAAAAGGTGAGATTGTAGTCCATCACAGGAGTGAGCTTGGAGAAGTGGCTACTTTACAACATACACAGGGACCATGGAGAACAAAAGTAGCCATCCTACAGAAGGAAGGACAGTGTCAGCATCAATTCAGAGATGATTTAAGGATCTACAGCCGAGTAATACACAAATAAGATACATTTCTGTTAGAGAACTATGAGGTGAGTGCTTTTCACTCACCTCATAGTTCTAGCCAACTTGTGACAATTCGACTGCCGAATCAGCAGAAATGTAGGCCGTGGGTGGCCCAACTGGCAGCCGTTCCTCCCTGTTCAACAAAAGTGGACGAAAAAGGAGGTAGCCTTAAAAGGAGAACTATGAGGTGAGTGAAAAGCACTCACCTCATAGTTCTAGCCGACCTGTGACAATGAGACTGTCACAGGTCGGCTCAGTAGATCGGGAGGTGAGCAAACACATACCGGTGTTCGCTCACTTCTCTATCCTGTCACAGCTCTCTGCCGTGACAGGGGAGAAACTGGATTCCCCCCTCCCTGCCAGCTGACTTGCGGAACGGATGGGGAAGGGTACAGCTGGCTCTGCCTCTAGATAGGCAGGGCCAGCTGTCACTCAGCTGGGCGGATCCCGGCACAATTGACGTGATCCGCTTCAGTGTCTCAGTATACCGCGAGCAGCAGCTCGCGGTATACTGCGGCGTCTCAGTATATCGCGAGCTACAGCTCACGGTATACTGAGCCTAGGGTGACGGTAGGACGCTAGCTTGTGTCCTCCCGTTACCTTAAGGAGAACTATGGGGAAAAGCCTTAAAAGGAGAACTATGGGGTCAGGGCTTTTCCCCATAGTTCTCCTTAGGGTAACGGGAGGACACAAACTAGCGTCCTACCGTCACCCTAGGCTCAGTATACCGTGAGCTGTAGCTCGCGATATACTGAGACGCCGCAGTATACCGCGAGCTGCTGCTCGCGGTATACTGAGACACTGAAGCGGATCACGTCAATTGTGCCGGGATCCGCCCAGCTGAGTGACAGCTGGCCCTGCCTATCTAGAGGCAGAGCCAGCTGTACCCGCCCCCTCCCGTTCCGCCAGTCAGCGCTGGCAGATCGGGGAGGGGGGATCGAGAGGTGAGAGAACGCCGGTATCTGTTCGCTCACCTCCCGATCTACTGAGCCGACCTGTGACAGTCTCATTGTCACAGGTCGGCTAGAACTATGAGGTGAGTGAAAAGCACTCACCTCATAGTTCTCCTTTAACCCCATAGTTCTCCTTTAAGTTATGGTACTTGAACTAATTTTTAAGATTTACTTCCTGAGTTTAGTGTCAGTCTAAAGCGATTTACTATGTTTCACTATAGACTAAACCAATAAGCACATTATG